ATTTATTTACTTAATAATAACAATCTATTTGTCATCATAAACAAGAACAACTTGCTAGATAATCGAAATCTGGAGAAGAGGTGTTTAAGTACCACAACAATATGAGGAAAGACAGCTTGGGAAACTTAATACTCACAAGACAACCTGAAGGAAGAAAGGAGGAGATGGAAACAGTAAGCAAATTAGCTGAAGTAGTTTGTGTGAAGAGACAGCAAAGCAAGGACAATGGAAGATGGTAAAGTGTAAAGTCAATTATTGCTCAGAGCTACAAGAAATATATAATATATATAGAAATATTGTAACATAAGGATATAGTTATAGAGCAATATAACATTGTAACATAATGATATAGTAATACAGTTATAAAATATTGTAATCTTATATATAATAAAGTACAGTGTATGTGTGTGTCCAAGCAAGTCCTCCATTCCCACTAGTACAATTTCAATGATTCATAACTGATTCAAAAACCCTAGAAAAGTTAGTTGCAGGGAACAATTTTCCTTGAGCTCAGATTCAGGATTGCCAGATTATGCGAGGTTAAAAATGTATATTAATATATTATACTAGCCATTATTGTTGCTTTCATGGCCTAAGGGGAGTTACTCTTATTTTTCTTTTTGTATCCAAAATTGCACCTAGCTTAAAATTTTAAGCTACCTTAAAAGCCACCCTACTGGGTGACGTTTAAGCTAGTTCCTGTGGAGGAATCTTGGTTTGGCCACAGTAGCTAGGGAGGAATAGATGCAACAGATATCAATAAACTACAGAAGGACTCAAAATTGATTGAAGTAGTGAATTAATGTTTAAGCTTAATTTTAAAAGTTCAATGATAATTCTCCTGCTGCCACTTAATTTAAAGATGATTTGATGTATGTAGATCCTTATTTTCCATACAATTATATTTATTTCATGGGGGACAAAATAGGACAATTTATAAGATAAAATTAATATAGTGTAAAGATGGTTTGGTTTGGTTTATTTTGTTTTACGGCATATCAACCTCAATGGGTTATTTAATGCCGACAACATTTTTAGGATAGATTCGTATGAATAGAATATGTATTCTTTGGCTTAAATTGGTTTGGTTTATTTTGTCCCATGGCAAACCAACCCCAATGGGCTACTCAATGCCAACAAAATACTTTATTCCTGGTAATATTTTGTTTTGTCAAAAATCTGTTTCTGTTAATATTCTTCCTTCAAAATTGTATTGCTGGTAATTTTTCCAAAAAAAGTATTGCTGGTAATAGTTAACTATTTGCCCATAGTTGGGACCCTAACAATTGCTACCACCCCAGGTTAAGGTGGACCTGGGAACACCAGCAATTAAGAGGTGGTTCCACGTTCCTCAAAACCTCCTGATCAGAGGCCTTGCTGCTGGACGTAGTTTATCGTCTTACCCAGGATGGTGTAAAGATGGGAAAATAGAAATTTATAAGATAAAATTAATATAGTGTAAAGATGGGAAAATAGAATTAGTTATACATACTTTATAGTAATTTGGTATTTACTCGAAACCACACACACACACAGTTGCGTAGTGATACAAAGTCAGTTTAATGTGGGGAGCCCAAGCGCATACACCCAGGCTAGGAACAAAAATTCTTGAACCCCTGCAACTATCAGTTGCACTGGCCTCAGTGTGAGCACTGATCCTTCTCTCTAGTACAATGAGAGCATGCAGTCTCAGGCAGCTGTTACACAGGACTGGGCACCTCTCAGTATAATTTTCCTCAGTTGTGACCCTGTCCTTTGATGGAGCTGCTCTGAGCACACTTTGCCCAAAGACAGAGACGCAACTGAGATGATAAATAAACCTATTACAAACTACTTTATAGTAATTTACACATGGTATTTACTCTGTCTCCCCACTGAGACGAGATATGATAAAAGATCTTTTTTAAGATGGGAACCCGAGCGTGTACACCTGGGCAAGAGACAAAAATTGCTCACAGCCCACAACAGTCGGTTGTGCTGGCCATTATGCGAGCACCAATCCCTCTCTCTGGTGCAATGAGAGGGCATGGCCTCAGGCAGCTGTTCCCCAGAGCTGGGCACCTCTCAGTATAATTTTCCTCAGTTGCAACTTTGTCCTTTCACAGAGTGCACTCTGCCCAAAGACAGAGACGCAACTGAGAGATGATAAGTAATATGTTAGAAACTACTCAAAAGAGTAATTCACACACTAAAAGTTCAATATCTGTAATATATATATATATATATATATTATCTACTTCCAGGCAATATCACTCTTCAAGTTTAAATTTTAAAAACAATATGCAAATTAGTTAATTTCATTACTTTCCTTTTATTCAAGGATTGTTTTGATTTTGATATCAAAAATAGTTCTGTTTAGGAATATTGTCTTATATAGTGCATAAAAGTGTTTGAAATTTGTATTTTATTTGGCCTTAAACAAGTTGGCAACTATTTGTAAAACTTTCCTTAACTATAACAAGCCAATTTATGAATGAAAAGTTCATTTAAAATATTTGTTTTAAAGATTTCAAGTAGTGAATATATCTTATTTTGCGAAGCAATAGCGAGCGGGCAGAGCCTGCTAGTATAATATAGATATATAGCAATATAATACTGAAACAATGATATAATAATATAATGTTATATAGCAATATAATATTGTAACATAAATGATATGATAATATAATGTTATATAGTAATATAATATTGTAACATAAATGATATGATAATATAATGTTATATAGTAATATAATATTGTAACATAATGATATGATAATATAATGTTATATAGCAATATAATATTGTAACATAATGATATGATAATATAATGTTATATAGTAATATAATACTGTAACATAATGATATGATAATATAATGTTATATAGTAATATAATATTGTAACATAATGATATGATAATATAATGTTATATAGCAATATAATATTGTAACATAATATGATAATATAATGTTATATAGTAATATAATATTGTAACATAAATGATATGATAATATAATGTTATATAGTAATATAATACTGTAAATAATAATGTAATATAATAATATAATGTTATATAGTAATATAATATTGTAACATAATGATATGATAATATAATGTTATATAGCAATATAATATTGTAACATAATGATATAATAATATAATGTTATATAGCAATATAATACTGTAACATAATGATATGATAATATAATATAGTTATGCAGTCATGATTATTTCTGGGCGGGAGAGTGGAGTGGCTTCCAGAATCCATGGTTGTCAGCATAAGAGACAGCTCAAGAAGTGAGCTGCATTTTGGGGGCATCAAAATCAAGCATATACAGAAAATATAAAATTATTTGGAAGTTAAAAATTTAAAAAGATGACTCAGTGGAGTAGAATAGGAAAAATATTCTATAGAATTTCAAAATTCTAATTGATCACCCAATCCAAATCAGGAGACCAGAATGGCAAAATAAAATTTCCATGATATTTGACAGTTTTTATGGATAACGCAAATCCAAGACAGAAAAGAAAATGTATTGTGTATATTGTTTTATGATAAAAAGAAAAACAAAGAACTACAAAGAAATAATAATTAAGTCTTCTGATTTTAATGGTTGTAAGCAAAAGAAACAGCTCAAGATGCTAGCTACATATTGGGAATGTCAAAATCAATTATCAATCTGGTCAGTGTAATAAAATAAAGGAAAGTGTAACATAGAAATCCAAAGGCACACAGAAAGAACTAGAAAAGATATCTTCCAGATAGTAAGCAATGCATTAAGAGATATGAAAATGACCTTAGAAACCAAGAAAAGAGTGCCAACCTGCCATATAATATCTAATCTCTTGTGGGGTAAATAATTCTGGGAAGAAACTTGAAGTGAAAGAGATGTGGTTCTAATGATGAATGCTGAGAATAATGGACAGAACATGTGAGTAATGAGGAAGTTTTAAGGAAAATTATACTAACAATCAGAAAGAGTTGAAAACTCTAAGACAAATGAGGAAAGAGGGTGTGGTTAATTTAATACTCTCATGACACACTTAAGGCACCCAAAACAAGAGGAAATTGTGAGTAATCGAATTAACAAGTTTGTCTGAATAGATGACATGGACAAAGAGGGATTGTATAGGAGTAGAAGTTACTTAGAACAACAAAGGAAGTTGTGGAGAGTTATCATCACTAAGTCCTGAAGAGGGCATGGTATCAAATAGAAAGATATAACAGTGGGATATGAGTCATTCTTGTAAGGCTTGATTCAGTTTGGACTTTGATTGATTCATTCATTTTCTAGGGCTTATCAACCATTTGTAGGTTATTTAAAGCCACAAAAATGTTTAGATTGTAAGAATTTTTTTTGAGATAATAATGATTTAGTGATACAAATCTTAATAATTAACCCATATCTGGTGAGAGAAGAGGTGTAATCACACCTTTTTGAAAATTGTAAGTGAATATAACAAACTCAATTGCAATATGGAACTCGGCTCTCTGGTTAACAATTCTGAACCATTATCCATTACACCACCAAAACATCCAAGTTTACAGCCCCCAGTAATCCCAAGCAGTCACCCATTTAGGTACTAACCAGGCTCATCGCTGCTTATCTTTTGTAGTTGTATGGGAACTGGTATTCGAACATGATGTGGACATAAGCAGTTTGAACTTTGGAATTGGCTTTTGAATAAATTCAATAAAAAAAACAAAACAATAAAATATACTGTAAAACTAATTATTGCATACTAATAGTGTTTAGTGAGGTGACTTAAGTCAGAATAGAATGAAGAGAGATGGAGAAAAACAAGTGAATGGCAGTTTTACTGGTTTCACTTGAAAGGTGGACAAAGTTCATTTTCACCAAAGATGTCTATAAAGAAGTCATACTTGTTCATAGATAAATGATGAGTTAGATGTACATGTGATGAAGCATACACAGCTTATAAGAAATAGATAATGAACAAACTGAAGTTAGTGAGATACTTAAATAAATTTGAACATAGACAGATATGATATACCTACCTTGGAAAGTACAAGCGTCAAGTTTTGTAGAGCCTTCAGTGCCCTGCCATGAATGGCTTTACGAATGGGAATTTCCTGTCGGAACATATAGTGGATTCCAGAGAGTAGATCACTCATATAAACACCATGCACAGGCCTGAAAAAATATTAAAAATATTTATATTTGAAGTCAACAGAATAATGATGAATTCAGAGAATGATGAAACTGAGGATTTTACAAGTATGTTAATACAGCAACATTAGTATAAATAAGGTAGGGAGGAATATATATATATGTTTTAAGGTAAACGTAGTTTTATGCTATATTTATGGGTTAAAGTGTCAAATATCTGGGATAGAGCATATATAAACATGAAATTGAACTCATCCAGCAGTGACAGTCTCTTTCATGCTTATATGCAATCAATATGGTTTGATTATTGCGTGCAGGCATGAAACAGACTATTGCCACTGGGTGTTGACTTCAGTGTCCACACTTATATATATATATATATATATATATATAAGTGTGGACACTGAAGTCAACACTCAGAGGATACAGGCTGTTTCATGCTAGATGCAATCTCTGATTATTGAACACTTTATCCTATAAATATAGCACACCTTAAAACTATATTTCTTCATAATTATATATATATATATATATATATATATACACACACACACGCACATATATATATATACACATACAAACAGATATATAAATATGTATACATACATGCAAAAATGTGTATATATATATATATATATATATATATATATATATATATACACACACACACACACAAACCCATGAAGTCAGTATTTGGGCAGCAACCTTTCTTTCAAGCATCTTTCATTGAAAAGGTCTAACAAGGAAGATTTAATTAACTTTTTATTGAGTTTTTACAGCATTCTAACATTTTTCTGTTTTTCAAGGGTTAAAGAATATAGAAATTGTCCATAATTATAATTATTCTGAGTGCTTATGGTTAGTTCTATAGCCATTACCAAGGATGATGTTTTTGGATGGTGAATTTCTTTGTGTTGACTTCTACATAGTAGTTTAGCTGTGTGAAGTACATGTGGGTTGTATGTTTTTTTGGCGGTCACATGCTATGTGTGGCCAGTTGACCTGGATATCACCTCTATTTTTAGAAAACCTTTAACATGTTATCTCCATGGCTAAATAGTGTAAGGTTGATAGTGGGAGAATGGTATTTAATCAGCGATGCTTCCCTAATGATGAGTTGTGTCATGTAATTTGAAAGAATCATGTTATCGATTAGAATTTTCCTTAAAGGTTCTTGTAAATTATGAATTAATAAATGTTTATTAACGGCAACCTGCTTCAAAAAGTGGCATGTAAGATGTCTACTTAAGGAGGTAGTGATGTGTCTGATATAAGCAATTGATTTTTGACAAGTAACACAGTCTTGTACTGAACATTGAAACTGGTACACTCTATTGATCACTGCTAATTTAGATTTGGTGAGGGTTAATTCAGTTGGTGATGAAGAGTTTTGCCATCTTCCATTTTCTATAATATATTATGAACTTTGTACTTTTCAAGGGTTACAACATAAAAATGGTGTTTAATGGTTTTCCTCATAGAAAATTCCTCCTGCTTATAATTATTGTGCATCTGGTTGCAATAAAATATTTTGATGGTTTGTGGTGTTGTATTTTTTTTTTTTTTTTTTTTTTAACTGGTGTTGTGTTTTTTTTGTTTTATTTTTTGTAAGAATAACTTTATTTGCTTATCAAATTTGTTTTATGTGTTTTAGTTCACGTAGAAATATTCTTTGGGAAGAGGAATTTTGGTATGCTCTATTAACGAAGTTTGTTATCAATGCTATTTTATATCTTTCTGGGCATTATCTATCATAGTTTAGAAGACAAGAATTCATACTAGTGAATTTTTTTTATAGGGGTAAGTGTTAGATTCATTAGATTTTAGCTATATCTTGACATTGAAGAATGAGATCTTGTTATGTACCATGGGTTTATATGTGAATTTTAGTGTTGGGTGTTTTTCAAAAGTTGATCTTAGGTTTGTGATTTCATCTTTATTTTTTTTATCAAAATGAAAATGTCATCCATGTACCTTGTGTAGATTTCAGGTTTATCAGTTGTTTTCAATACAGGACATGTAAAAGTCAGTGAAAGCAGGACCTAAAGGGTTTCCCATGTTGACACCATTAGATTGGATATATAGGTTACCATTATGGTCATAGGATGGAGCTTTGATGGTAAAAGTGAGGAGTACTGTCAGGAGGATAACAGGTCGGATTTTCAGGGGAGGCATTGTTAGAGTGTTTATAGACACAGTCACTAATTATGTTGATTGTTTCTTCAAGTGGGATATTGGTAAAGAGGTTTTTGATGTCTAGCAAGGCCATAGTATTTCCTATGAGATTTGCTGTTTTCAAGGTGAGGAGGAAGTCAGTCACTGGTTGATGCTATGCTATGCTATGCTGTAGTTGTTGGGTGTGTATGGAGAAATTATTCAGTTGAGGGTTCCTGACAGTTGGTATATGGGTGAAATTATTTGGAACATGATAGGTCAGAGACGAAAACCTGGTTTATGGGTTTTTACATTACCATACGTATATCTCAGTTGATAATAGCCAACTACTTTCTTGATTTTAAAGGTATCAACATTTGTGTTGTTTTCTGTAATTAGTTTATTTACATACTTTTTTAGTGTTTCTGTTGGGGCTTCCCTTAATTTGGTGTATTTCGTTGTGTTGTCTCACATGGATTTTAACTCTTGAGAACCACATAATTATTGATTTTATCGGCGCATCTAATAATGATATTGAGGTTCCCAGGAAACTCTTCCACAGCCAACTTGAGTTTGTCTGTACAGATACTGTTGTGTTGGTTGTGTGGGGAACACTTTTTTTTAATCCTTTGGGTTTTAGGAGGTCTCTTAGATTTGGGTGCACCTTAATTGATTTTTCTATTGGATAGATTGGTGTGTGTGTGTGTATGTATATATATATATATATATATATATATATATATATATATATATATACACACACACACACACACACATGCATATATAAACATATATACACATACATACACACACACACAACAAACACACACACACATGTGTGCGCACAAACACATATATATATATATATATGCACAAACACACACATATATGCACACATATTTATATGCATGCTCACACACACACATATATGCACACATATATATATATGCATGCACACACATATGCAGACATATATATATATATATATATATATATGCACACCCACACATATGCGTGCATACACACATATATATATACACACATATATGTGCGTGCACACATATATATGCACACTCACACACACACATATATATATATATATATATATATATATATATTTTAATTTTGGCAACTGTACATTATAGTTGTGTCAGTTGGGCACCGTCTTTGAGAAAAAAAAGCACCATGACACATTTCACTCCTCCAGAAATTTGGAAATGCCATGCTGTATTGTTTGGCATACACGCAAGAAGTTCCAATATGAACATTTCAGAATGTTTGGGTGAAAGATATTTTTCTCTAATTTTGCTAAATATACCTGTTAAAATGAGATGTCAGTATTATTTTCATTTTTGCATAATTTAGATGACAACCTTTGTGCTGAGTCTGAAACCCTCACCAACAAATTCGAGAGTTCTTTTCTTATCAGAATGACCAGAGTGACTTTTCCAAGCTGCCATATCTTCATAATCACTATTAGACTCATCCAACTCTTTCTGGCAGAGTGAATGGCATCATGGTGCTCTTTTTCTCACAAATGGTGGCCAACTGGCCATACAATACTGTGCAGTTGACAAAATCAAAAATAAACAATGCATACGTGTGAAATTAAAAATGTAAATGACCACAATTTGCCCATCGCATCCTTTGTGTATATATATATATATATATATATATATATATATATATATATATATATATATATACGCACATATATGTACATACACACATGTACATATTTTCACATACATACATATTTACTTAGTATCAACCAAAATTTTGCATGAGAGGACAATAACGAAAGAAATTCATAAAGGTTTTCTTTATTTAACCATTTAGTTTTGTTTTAATCCATATCTTCAATGCATTGGAGACATAGGTATCAACACTGAATGGCAATAGTATGTTTCATACTTAAATTAAATCATCAGGCCATTATATATATGCGCATACGTGTGCATTTTTTTTATAAAACCGTATTGATGGTAGTCTTTTGATTTTTGCTTGGTCGTTCACTACTTGCCCAGAGCTGGGACCCTAACAGGTGCTACCACTCAGGGTTAGGGTGGATCTGAGAACAATAGCAATTAAGAGGTTCTTCCATGCTCCTCAAAACCTCCAATCTCCTAATCAGAGACCCTGCATATGAATGTAGTTTATCATCATACCCATTAGGGGAGTGGTCTTACTCCTCTGCAGTAGTGCAGTCAGCATATTTTACAGCTCCTGCTAATAGTGCATTATGCCACTAATATATATAGGGAACTTAAAATGATTACTTGGTTACTTATAAGTAATCATTTTAAGTTCTCTATATATCAGTGGCATATGTACTGTAGACCATCTTAAATCATCTAAACAAAATATATACATTTTAATAATTCCAATTAAGAGCCTATACGCCATTCTCCAGCAGCACCACTGGCTTGGATATATATACAGTATGCCAGATGGGGAGATTACGAAGATCCTTTTGTATGAGGAACTGGCCACCAGCAAGAGGGAACTCGTCTCTGTTTCAAGGATGTCTGCAAAAGGGACATGAGGGTGATGGACATGGTCATCAACAGGTAAGAAAAGAATTATCATTCACACCTGCGATGCAATTTACACTGATGTGTGAAGCAAGGAGAGGAGAAACAAAGACTTGCCACTGAGGAGAAGCATGCTCATCAAAAAGAAAACAACAAAGCAACATTAGGAGAGAGTGTCTTCACATGCATTCATTGCAATCAAGACTGTCACTATCGTGTGGCCTGTAAAGCCATAACAGATCCTGCATCTTAATCAGCCACTGAAGCATAACTCTTTAGGTGCAGATCAAAGGTCTCTCAAGACTAACAGATGGCACACACAATCAATTAAGATCA